TCTCTCAATAGGAGTCTTCATACTGTTTAAGCTCACTCTCTCTTCAGTCACTCTTGTCCTTAGGATGCTTTCCACAAGGAAAGTTCTAGGTTTGAAAGAATTCTTTGTGAGGTTAGGTCACCAACTTGATACCCAGATTAATTTGTTTCATTTTATTTCTAATTTTTAAGGACCGTTCTCTATTTCATAATTTTGACTTGTTTCACAGTCATGTATAACCCTGACACAGTTCAACGTCAAAAGTACAAAACATGCTCAATGAAGTCCAGCTTTGAGTCCTTCCTAGTCCCTCCTCTGTCCCCTCTCCCTAGAGGTAATCAGTTTTTGTTTTTGACTTATTCTCCTACTTTTATGAAAAGATTTTATGTGTATGAATATATATATACATTGACACACACAAACACACGTTTAATGTTCCCTATTTTCTTAGATAAAACCGTATATTTGTTTGTCATATTGGCTGCCATAACAAAACACCACAGACTAGGTGGCTTACACAGCCTTAATCTCTTTTCTCACAGTTTTGGGGGCTGGAAGTCCAAGATCAAGGTGCTGGCAGGGTTGTGTCCTCTGAGGCCTCCCTCTTCAGTGTGCAGATGGCCACCTTCCTGCTGCCTCTTTACATGGTCTTCTCCCTGGGTGTGTGCACACTTAGGGTCTCCTTTTGTGTCCAAACTTCCTCTTATAAGGACACAAGTCAGACTAGAGACCATCCCAACAGCCTCATGTTAACTCGATTACCCAATCAAAGGCCTTATCTCTAAATACAGTCACATTCTGAGGTGCTGGAGGTTAGGGCTTCAATGCAGAAGTATTTTGGGGGCAGGGTGGGGGTGGGATCACAATTCAGTACCAAGAAACCTACTATATACGTTATTTTACACCTTATTTTTTCTCACTTAACAGTAAATACATCCTGGCATCATCCCATCACTGGAAATTCTCTCCACTATTTTCTACAGCTGCAAGAGACTTTGTCAACACACCATAGTTTATTCAACCAGTCTTATACTGACGGACAGAGTTTTTTGGGTTTTTTTGCATTACAGCGGGTACTGCAAAAAATAACTGTTCATATGCCTTTTTGTATTTTTGCCACTGGATCTGAGACAGATTCCCAGACATGAGATTGCTGGGCCAAAAGGTAAATTTGTTTCTTGTCATCAACTTTTAAAATATATCTTGAACCCCTGACCTGTAAGATAACCATAATGACAGCTGTAGTGCTTGCTATGGCCAGGCATTGTTCTAAGCATTTTACAAGCATTAACTCATTTAATGCACACAACAAGCTTATAAACTAAGTACCGTTATTACCTTTCTTTAAAAACCAATAGAGAAATCAAGAATCTTGCCTGCCATTCCACTGGTAGGAGGCGGTCAAGCCAGAATTTAGAACCCAGGTTGTCTGGCTGCAGAAAGTGCGCTGTTAACCCCTTATACCGAATGCTAACACCCTCACTGACACCTTCTCTACCCACTTTTCATCTTCTCCTAGTAGCTACATTTAGACCGTCGTGCACAACAATCAAGTTCTTAAAGCTTTGCCCTTAGTTGAAAACAAAGAGCATTTACATTATGACTGTAAACATTTTTCATTGCTCTGCCAAGGACAAAGCTCATCTTCCTTTCCTCTGGCGCCCCCTGTAGGTGACTCCTAGCACTAGAAAACATACTTTTCCTTACACTCCTTTACTGCTTGGAATCACATTTAATGTTTGCTTCGTATTTACTCTAAAACTTTTATACACGGACTTTTATTTTTTATTATATTTTATATAATTACCTTTCTTTTTCTTCTTATATGACACACCTTCCACTTTCTCAACCATAGGTCTTTTTGTTTTTCTCTCCAGAGACCATATATCCCTGGAGCACCCTTTCCTCTTGTTCAAATTGGGACTGGCTACTTTTTAAGGCTGGCTGAACAACCATGTTCAGAGATTTCCCTTGCACTTTTCTCCTGTATTATTAGATTCACTGTGTTCTGAATCCTTAAGCTTACTTCCTCAGTTTGCTAGAGTATCTCCTCCAATAATACCCAAAGAAAAAGTTTCAGAGTCCCTGAGTGTCTAAATGTCTTTATTTTTTCTTTTACACTTAATTGAATTTGGCTGGGTTCATAATATTGGGCTGAAATCAAGTTTCATTCAAAACTTTAAAGGTCTTGTTCAATTACCTTTCAGCATTCGGGCTGCTGGTAAACTTGATACTACTCAGATTCTTGTTTCTGGGAGGAAAAGTCCACTTTTCTTGTTGTCCTTATTGTTCAATTTCATGCTAACAGGCTGAAGTCCTGGTCTTTTTTTTTTTTTTTTTAATTGTACTAGGCATTCAGTAGACCCTTAGAACCTGAAGACTCCTTTCTTCCACTATTAGAAATCCCCTTCTTTTGACAATTTCTCTCATTCTATCTTCGTGTTCTTTCTGAGATACCTACATAGTCTCCTAGATTCAACTTTCACGTCTCTTATTACTAGCTTGTTTCTCTTTTGCTCTACCTTCTGGGAGACTTTCCTTTATTCTCTAGTCCAACTACTATTTTACATATTTATGAATATTTCTCCCTCTGCTCCGTTTTTATAGCAGCCTCTTAGTTTTATGCAGATAATATTTTCTTAAATCCGAGTATGTCAGGTTTTTTTTTAAAATACAGTTTCCTTCCATTCCCAGACTAATCTCTCTTTCTCGGGTCAGTTTTTCGACTTTTAAATATTGATCTCTCATCTCTTGTTTCTACTCAGTTGTCTGATTTTACAGAAGACTGGATAAATTGGTCTGAGAGTTTCCTCTGTTTTCCAGCTCCGTCTCTTTCTGGCAGGGAAATTCTACTGGCAACTCTGTGCAGGGTGGGGCAGGGCAGAATGGGGAGTCTCATCTGTAGGCTTTGCTTGAGGGCAAGAGCCGGCTGTAAAGACCATGGGACTTTCCAAATGCCAGAATGAGGGCTTTCACCTACATGACAACAACTGTTCTGAGATGGGAGAACATGGCAGGACCAGGGCTGGGGTGCCAACTGGTACAAATTGTCTCATATACAGAACTTCAGTTATTCTGTTTTCCATTACCACTTCCCACTCTCATCTTCCACTGGACTTGCCAACACTAGGCCCAGAGTCTCCTGGGATTGCGCAGTGTGCAGGCTGGTTCCCAATGCCTCTCTGACTCCCTCTGAGCACATCCTGGGCTTTAAATCTACCTCTTTCATCTGTCAATGTGCCCTCATCCACTTTTTCTTCCAGAGAGTCACTGAAGGCTGTCATCTGTTGCTTAATATCCCTGCTCCCTTCCTTCCTCTTCTCATTGCTATTCTGAGTCTAGTCTTTTATTATACCAATTATTTTAATTCCATGGGGTCCTGGGAGGGGTTGGAACAAACCTTAATGCTCAATCCTCCTTGAACTTTCTGGCTATTGATTTTATGTCAAAAAGTACATGTACATTCTTTGTAGCAGTGTTTTTTAAAGAGTCTGAAGAAAACCAATTTCTGATGCAATAATAAAGGTGTATGCACATTTTTTAACTTACGTGTATTTTTTTTCAGCAAAGGGATCTTTCAAAGGAGTGTGATCTAAAAGAGGGATTAAACCAGGACAACTTCCAGTTTCTTCTGGCTTTGCAGACTTGCAGATGTTTGGGCCATGTTTAAGCCAGTTTCTGTTTCATGGAACAGGATGGAAGTTTACTGTTTTTTTTTTGGGGGGGGGAGGTGGGGTAAAATTGAGGAGTTTAGTTTTGGAAAAGTTGATATCTGAGGTGCTTGTAGGATGGGTTAAGAAGAGAAGTCTAGTAGGCCATTAATCATGTTTATAGATCAGAAAGATTTGGGACACATCAACCATGCTGCCTATGATATCACCCGGAAAATACACAATTTAGAAAGGCAAAGAGTAGAGCTCTGCCTAATACAGACTAAGGCTGGGTGGAAAAAAAATAAACCTTTAACGGAGACTGTAAAGGGATGCTCTCAGTTATGCCAAATGCTGCCAAGGTGGCAAGGAACCACGAGACCTCAAAGGCTGTACTAGCTTTTAGTCACTAAGTTACTCAACACCTTGGAAAAACAATTCAAGTGAAGAGGTGGAAAGTGAGACCAGACTTCAGGTCTTATCTGAAGCTATGACTGCCATCAGAGCACCTGTGAGTCTCCCTAGGAGCAACATTAGATGGGAGAGGGGGTGGGGGTGGATTAATCCAGAGGTGAAGTGGAATGAAACGGATGGAGAACGGGCGTTACTGACAAGAGGTGGTGAAACAGATCAGGCAGCTCCAGGTGAACAAGGAAATGCAGGAAATGACGGGATATCTGAATGCTGGAGGGTACGCAGAGGGGCCAGAAGATCGTTAGTACTGAAACAGGTATGTGAGGGAGTGAGAACGCTGGCTGGAGAGGCAGCTGGGACAGTGAATGGGACACAGAAGTGTGGACTATTAAAAGTGGGCAGGTCTTAGGGACCAACAAGCTGTGGGGAATGGCAGAGGAAGGTCTGGATCACTGAAGTGGCCGAGGTCCGGTGACTGAGTTAAGGTGCATCGGCTATCCATAAAGAGATCGTGAAGTCCCCCTGAGCCAGCACAGGCCTTGAGTGTCGAGGAAGATGAAGAGCCAGTTTCTAAATTCTTCCTCAAATATGGGAAGAGATCTAGCCCCTGGTAGAAGTGAAGGCAAACAAGGGGCAGATGGCACACTCACCTTTGTCTAAGAAATGAGAGGGTTCCTTGCATAGGGTGAGGTTAGATTTGATTCAAAGGTAAGAATTTAACATTTGAGTGCTGATGTTTTACTGCACTAAATGTACATAATACAATGAAGATATAAAAACGGTTCTCGGGTAATTACAGCTGAGTATATAATTGCCTCTGGCCCTTTCTATTCTATGATGATTTTAATACTCTTGGTCTAATGTTAACTAGAAAAATTTTGTTTCCATGCTTTCCTAATCATACAACAAAGAAATATACTACTTTTACTCTTATTATATCTTTAAACACACACTTACCTGATTCTTTTTAGGAAGTACCCCTCCTATGCGCTTCCTTTCCTGAGATTTCCTCCTAGTAATTTTCTTTTCTTTACAAGGCTGAGCTTCTGTATTAAGTAAGTTGCAAACATTCTCTTCTGCAAAAGTGATCAATTGCTATAAAGAAAATTTAAAGGAGGGATACCATAAAACACAAGCAAGTGCATCTTGATGTATGTTTCTCACATTTATTTTCCTTCCCACACTGCTTCTACATTTTCTATCCCAGTTCCTTTTAATTCACAAATTCCATTAGAAGTACTTTAACCATCTTAAACTCGAATGGGGGAGAAAATTACCAATTTCTGATCTTATTAAACAGACCCAGAAGCATATGCACTCTGTCCATTATTTTAAGGAAGAAAAAAAAAGTTTAAAATTAGTTGATTTATTTCTTTATCAAATATTTACTGAGCATCTACAATTTAGGAGCTAACTCCTGTTGAGTTATGGGTGGAAACATGCATTTAGATTATCTAAATGTGAATTCTAGGTTTATCACCCAACAATATCAGCTAAAAGCCCCATAATGGTATATTATATATTTATGAATTTAGACAAAAATCCAATTTTATCTAGTTTGATGAAATAGGAAAAGACATGCATTTAATGGGAGTTATGTTCCTACTGAAAAGAGTTAAAACCCAGTGTTAAGAAAAAAAATTAAAAAGGGAAATATTTTTGTAAAAAGATATAATTATGCCATTTTCTGGCTCTGTTAATTACACACTACTCTTTTTTTTTTTTTTTTTT